TCTGATAATACCTACTTGGGCCTGGGTCACAACAATGCCCACCTGCCCAGACATCATCAAAAACACTCTTCGCATGCACAGAAACTCTATGTGCTCGCAAAGTGAGCTCGTGCACCTGCCCGCTACCAATAGTGAACCGGTAGCGCCAGGATTTGAATCTCACTACTGAGTAGATTGGTGATATGTTTGGGATGGATGTTGATCAGACCAGGGGAAATGTGCTCAGATATTCCCTCTTTAAAAAAGAATGTGGTGTGACAATTGGAATATTTCAAGCAAGGATATTTCAAGCCACTCAAAGCCCATCTAAGATTGAAATGTCAGCCTGTTCTTCATAGACAAGGGAATATCCCACATTTGTTATATAATCCTAATGCATTAAATGGTCAGATGAAAAAAGGGAAACAGCTCTGCAAATTTATTTTATTCAATTTCATAGCTACCCATCTAAATACAGTTGAAATTCTATCGTCTATACAAGAAATAAGGGTCAGAAAATGACCTGGAATCCTGACTTTAATCAGCAGTGGGAGGAAACTTCATAATCAATCCATAATTGGACTTGTCCTGGAAAGAGCAACTTGAGACCATGGGAAAATTTACAACCCTCTTTTTTAAAACAACAGCATATTTATGTTTTGTTGGATTCAGAGAGATACAGGAGGGCCTTCAGGAAAAGGCCTTCTGTGCTAAAAAATATTTTTATTCAGTAGAGCTAAACATAAACATTTTTGAAAATGATACCAGTCAGAAGCTACAAAAGATGACCTAACCATTAACTGTTTCATTAAATAGAAATCTAAAACGGTGCTGTAGCTAAAGCTGAGAAGCCACTGAACTCTCCACATCGCAGAGAAAGCTACTGTGTGTGGAATTGGGATGCCATTTCTGATGTAGAAATACTTTACAAAAGATAATTGCTTGCAACCATTAAATCCAGAGTCTAAAATTTCCAAACTCTATTACTGCAGCCGAAACCAGTAGTATGAATTTGAGTTGCCTTTGGCTGAACTTATAATGAGTGGAATTTTTCCCCCTTCGTTTTTCTAAAAAGTATCCCTGTCTCAATCAAAGCTGATTTAAGATGTGGAGGAGGGTAGGAGTGGTTTTTATATAATCTTTTATACAGGAGTCCAAGAAGGAAGCTTCCTATTTTTTCACAAAACAACCCATTGAAATAAATTAGGCTGAGAGTATGATTGGCCCTAAAACAGCCAGTGAACTTACATAAGGTGGACAAGAACCAGGATCTCCTTGCATCTGATTCAATAGTTATAAAGGTAATTTTATGACCTGTCATTTAGGGACCATTTGAAGTTACACTGGACCTCCCCAGAGTTACTTACATGATACATCCCAGATTTGAAGTTATGATGGCCAACCCCTCCCTCAGTTATGTGATTGCCTATTGGGTGCTGGCAACTGGCCTGCATTTACGGTTATTTGCAGCATTCCATGGTCACGATTTAATGCTCTTTTCTTCTGTTTTCCCACAAAAAAAAAACCTCTGATAGACTATAATGGGTTCATTTAACAACTGCTACAAAAAAGATGTCAGGCCTGGAAGCCATCTTTTGCATTGGATCTTCTGGCCTGCCACATTTAGTGCTGTGGGAAACCGGGAGGGGGGATTGTATGGCACAGAGGAGGTATATACTCATAATAACATTCTTTTCTCTGAGAGTCAAGGACATCTTGCCCTGCACCTGGAGTGGGGTGACTGGGAGGCATCTCCAGTTGGGACGGTGCATTGATCAGGCCATGTGATGGACATGTGGGTGCTGGGGCAGGGACCTGGACTTTCTTTTGGGTGGGGAAAACCTGGAAGCTTTCAGATTTGGGTTTCCCCAGATGTGCCAATATGACAACTCTAATAAAATGGAACGTTGAGGAACTTCTAACCTTGGAGTGTTCTTTCATTGGGGTTGTTACTTGGAACCCTGGCAAAAGATTGTACAATTGAGAGTACTCACGTGGTGGTTTGCTTAAAGACCAACAGGTTACAACCATAATTGTGGGCTCAATTGCAGCCGTATGTCAAGAATCACCTGCACACTTTTCTCACAAGAGAAGACTAGTCTAATATGTGAAATGTTCCTTTTAATAAGACAGGATAACTAATAAATTAAAATATAATCCAAAGACAGTAGCACGGTTTGCGTTTGGTTTAGCAGGAAAAAAAATGACAGTTCTTTTGTAATGTCATTATAATAAAAGGATGGGAAGAAAATTGAAATAAATATCCTGTCTCAGCAGGGGTGGGTTCTAAATTTTTTTACTACCGGTTCTGTGGGCGTGGCTTATTTTGTGGGTGTGGCTTGGATGTCATGTGACTAGGGGCGTGGCTAGTTGGTCAGAGTCATTTCTGGAAGGTCCTCGCACTTACGACCAGTCCTCGCACTTATGACCCGACTCATTTGTTTGCTTTTAACACTGATCAGCTGTAGGACGGCCGTTTGAAGCACCGCAGCAAGAGTTTAAACAGTTTTTTTCCCTCTAGTCATCAGCTGGGACTCAGGAGGCAGCAATAGATTGGGGGTGGGACCAAATAAAAGGTAAGAATAACGTGGGTGGGGGGTGGGGGGAGGGGGGGTGGGGGGAGAACCGGTTCGGTGACATCATATTGTCACTGCTACCGGCTCGGCCGAACCGGACCAAACCGGGAGGAACCCACCACTGTGTCTCAGGTATTTTAAGTGTCTTTAAAAAGCCCTGACAATATCAGCAAATTCTCTTCAAGAATTATTCAGATTGTTTTAGGCAGGAGATTCAAAAAATACTCTAAACACCCCAGGCAAAGTGGCCTCTAATTGAGAAACCAAACACCTTATGAATGGTATTGATTTTGACTTTGGAAGAAACAGTCCTCCATCTGAAAAAGCAGTCACTTGGGCAATCTCCTGGACTTCTGGCTCTTGTTCAAGGAAAATAGGAGGCTGCAGCCAGCTTTGCCTGGTAAACCATTTGTGGTCTTTCTGGGAGCAGAGGAGCATGTTGAGTCAATATGTCATACTTGATCACTGTATATGGGTTGCTTTTATAAGGCCACCCAGAAAATTTAATGGATACAAAAAGCCTTTATGCTAAGTAGACAGTCACGTTACTGCCATAAGGGCAATTTAAACTACTGCAGTTACCTGTAAAGGCCCTATGTGGCTTGGGGCCTGGGCATCTTTGGAATTGCCTTCCAGGTAACATCTGTCCACCCCAGATGTCCTACACTAAACTGAATGAGAACAATTGGTTTAATGATAGTATAGATTATTATCCTAATGGTAGGGTATTAAATCAATTGAGAGATAAATCAAATAATAAATCAAAAGAGCCAGTTTGGTCAAGTGGTTAAGATAACAGGCTATATAAAGTGGGAGACCATGAGTTCTAATCCTGTCTTACCCATTGAAAAACACAAATACAGGTCAAAGCAAAGAAGTCCATGGATCAAGAACCAGCAGTCTGAAGAGTGCAGTCCAGGTTGTAGTTGAATCTCAAGTTGCAGGGTAATACGAGAAACTGAAGTATGTCTGTAGATAAGAAAGTGTTTCCAACAATAAAAAAAGACTGTTGCTTTTGTACAGCCTCAGTGGCTGACATGGCTTAATGAAGGAGTTAAGGTTTCATATTCTTGAGCTACAGGGCTCTGTCTAGCTACACTCTGTCAAGTTTAGACCCCTCATGATATGAGTCAACCCCAAATGGCCATGTTTATCATCTGTGACAGCCACCTCAGATGATTCTCCCAGTTCTTCTGGTTGATCTGCTGTGCCTTTTTAGCCTCAACTTCAGAGAAGATCATAAATCTGAAAGTCTTCACAGGTCCTGAATTCTGGACCTGTGAAGACTTTCACAGAGAAGACTCAAAGGCACAAATACATTTCCAGTTTCATTTTTGTCTCTGGCTAGGGTAAGATGGTATTTTTGTAATCCTGAATATGTGAAGAAATCCATAGGAGCTTGTCTATTGTATTCTCTATTTACTTTATCTCAAATCAAAGAAAGTCTAAGTACTTCATTTGACTATTTTGTAGAACAGAATATCTGAGTTTAGTTCAGTGCTAGGATATTAAAAATTCATTTATTCTTCACAGAACTTGTGCTTGTTTATAAAACTATAAACTTTTCAAGGTATATCTATAATGGAAAATTTAAGAAATAATTTTGCATTGTCCTTGTTGCTAACAATTGTAATGTGTTTAGTTGCATCATGAATGACAACTTGTTCCTTCTGATTATTTTTGGTTATTTCTTACTGTTCTTTATTTACTTATGTGGTCATAGCAAGGGGTGATAGATAAAACATGCTTGGGCACTTTACAGGAGTAATATATATTCTGATCATTATTCTGTCATCGTTCAAGAAGTCTATTAAACATTTGCAGAAAATATCCGGACTTTGGCAGGAAAGCAATAAATGCTACTACCTAATTGCTAAACCTGCCCTTCTTTTTTTACTATGTCATGAAGACTTTAATTTTCTCAGTTACAAAACTAACAGAAGCAGCACCTTCATGCAAATTTGCGAACAACCCCTTAAAACTCAGCTGCACATATTTCTAAGTAACTACTACAAATTCAGAATTTAGCAAATAAAGAGAGTTGCACTGCGGCTAGATGTAAACTATAGCTGGTCACATATTCATTTACTACTGATAGAGGCTATTGTTCTACCAGCTGCATAGGCACCTATGGGGAGGAGCCAAGAGGGGATCAAATAAATGTGTGCAGGTGATGATGTCAGCATGCTAATGTTGCTCTTTATATATTTGAATTGGATATTATAATGTTACTAGATAATCACACCATTTGCTCAGTGATGTAATGATGCATGTATCATCATTTTGATTTCATAAAAACGAAATCAAAATTTATCAATTTACATGCCTTGACATCTCAGAAGACTTTTTCTAGAACATTATTCAAACAACTGGACTCCATGATAAGACAGGAGAGATTTCATGAAGTATCAGTTGAAGAAAGACTGTGGAAAGACACGTAACACATTCTTGTTGACTGCAAATTCTGTCTCTAGAAAGGGCTGCTAATTTAGCCTTTATTTTAAAAAATTAAAAAAAATATTGAAACACCCAGGAGAAACAATCTTACTTATTGCAGGAAACAAAACTCCATATCAACAATAAGATTACACTTTTCATTTTCAAATGCCATCTCAAACAGGACAGAATATCTTGATCAGATTGAGGTTAAATGCAGGGCTAAAGTTCTATTATGATTTTTTTTCTTTGTATATATTGGCATTTTTGAATCAGTTTTATTTATTTGATACAGTTAATCAACTTCATAAATTCTCCTCCTCCTCCTCCTCCCTTCTTCTATTTTGTCTTATTCATTTATCTTTATCTTACCTGCTATGTTTTATTCTATTTAATCTCACCATAGCTCTTTTATTTCACTTCACTGTATCTTGTCTCATTTTATTGTATTCTAATGTATGATGCTCATGTATTGATTTGATTAATTGACTAACCAATATCTTATTGACCTCATCATAGCATACTACAAGTACTGCTGACCACTTGCATTACTTTACCTGCAATATAAGGATGACAACATTGCTTTTCCTGTATGGGGCTATTATAAGAATTTTATGATACAAGTCACTTTGGTCGCTAAAGTAATGTTATGAATGATATGACTTTATTTATCTGCAAAGTCAATACCCAGTCAATATATCATATAATAGAATGGACCTAAAATAAAGTAATCTTTATTTCAATGGTATGAAACAAGAAACAGATGAAATTTTTTTAAAAATAGTTACTGATTTTCTACATTTTTCCATTTCATTTCTATTATGGCATTTGTTAAAAAAATGTTTTCTGTGATGCTTTTAAAAATATTAAAAATACATATTTGAAATTAAACTTTAAATAGGTCTAGAATCATACTGACATAATTTAACAGTGAATATACTAATCCAAAATAGGTTTTGTCTTATTAGAACTACACTGTCCTTTTTCTAAGTGGCCTGTATTTTTTCATATTTTTCTTTAATTGTCACTGATTCCTAAGCAATAATTTGGTTTTTAAAAAAGACAGCAATAGCAAATAAATTGTGATTCATTATCAATGATGTCATGAGTATCAGCCAATTAGTAGGTATGTCATATTGAAATAATAGAAGGTATTATTCTGATTTCATTTGCAGCAGTTTTTGTGAAGTTATAGATTGGAAAAGCAATGCTCCTTTATTAAACTTTATTTAGAAAATATCCTCACTGCAATGTCCCTCTTCTTCAATGATTACAAGTCACATCAAAAAATAAATTGCAGGCTGAAACAAATGACACTGCATTGGATTCTCCTAATTAGATGTGAGTATTAGTTCTACCCACTCTTCATTTCTTCTGAAATTCAGTCTTACTCAGTCTTCTATCCACATAAGTGCAGCATGACTAACTACACGTAGTGGCATAGGAAACTATGTGTGATAAAACTAAAACATATATAGCTCTGTAAAAAACCATTTTCCACATTTCATAATATTTATAATGCTTCAATATATATAAAGTGAATAAGTAACAACAAAGTTGGGGGCTTCTTTAATGCATTTCATAAGCAATAATGATGGGATGACTTTGAGAAGATAATCATCCTTGAAAGGATTCATTGTCCCAAACATTCTCCAATGCTTGGACTATGGATCCCTAAAGCTTTAACAGAATTTATGTAATCTCTTCCAGATTAATAGGTTTTAACTATGTTTTATAGAAATTTTCAGACATTTCTTCTGAATGGGGCATGACATGCCTGTTGAATCTCTGTTCTCATACAGATAGACCTAAATATGCCTTTAACTAAACTGGAGAGATCATTTTTTCACTCTGGCACTTTGAATGTTGGGTGATTTTGTCTATAAAATAAAAGCAACATTAAATGTTAGTATTATTTGTCTATTCAGACTCTCTTTATATGTCTTGGTGGATGTCAAGGACCCACATTAAGGTCTGCTCTAATAATATGTAACAGAAAAGATGGACAAACATTCAGAAAATCTGAAAAGAGGCTTTTTTTTTTTACAGATCTGTAGGTCATCAATATAAAATATCGGAAAGATTTAACTTCATCCGGTGTATATTTTAGATTGTATTCTGCTTATGAAGAGGGTCAAATTAAAAACATGGTAGAATTAATGCTCTTAAGTCTTCAATCTTCTAGTAATGGAGCTATTATGGAATAGGACCTGAAATATGTTTTTTAGCAAATGACTCTGGAATTAAAGAGCTCAAATTGTTTATACGTATTTCCATGCCATTTATTTTCTTATCAATAAAAATACATAAAAGCATTAAGCACATTTAAGCTTGTGAAAATCAATGGGATGAATATAGGTATCCTAGTTTGGATTTACTGAAAGGTAAATAGTGGATGAATATGCCCATGAAATGACCGGAAATGGAACTCATTCAAATAAAATTTTAGATTAAAAAAAATGAAACCTGGTTAGGCGGTGGCAGCATTTGGCTAACCTTGGTTGCGCTCAAAAAATCTCCCAGAGTTCCCTTCTTCTCAGAAGCCCTTTCTAACTTCTGATTTACAGTCTTGGCATTTCTTGATGTTCCCTCCTTTGAAGCTGATTAGAAGCACTGGGACTAAAGTTTGACGGCCTGACTTTCATGACAACAGACTTCAAGGAATACCACCAGCCACGCCATGTGTACCAGACAATTCCATTGTCTGATCTTGCTGAATAGGGTCCATTATAGTACAGGCCATTCAGGTTGGCAGTATGACATCTAGTGAAATAGAAGAAAAATAAATAGAAGATATTTATTAGTTTCAAACAACATCACAGCTTCCTCAGACTGTTTGCAAGTAAAAACTGTGACCTATTTTTTGTTTCTATACACTGCATCTTAGTCCTCAAAGCCTGAGTAATATTTAATCTCTAGGACTAAAAGGGGGCCACAATTTCTCTTCATCTCCATCTGTTTTCGCTTTGGGGGATGCAGTTACCTCTAATCCTTTGCCACTCGCATGGAACCTGGATTTGAAGAGACTCACCATCTACTTGTCATCAAAGGACTGTCTAGCAACAGGCCTAACAGGAATATCACCAACAACCATCTCCAGTCTAGTACATTGTGTGACTCAAGGTCTGAATTAATCTGATTATACAGAGCTGTTCTATAGTGACAATATCATTCTTGTGATATATTTTACTTTGTGTAAGAAAAGTTATATTGATTTTCAGGCAAATTCTGAAAGTTATTTCATTTCCCCTATATATCCCAAGAAACCCTGCTTATTCCCTAACTAAGAACAACTAATGATTTGCTATACTTTTATGATACCTAAAATCCACCCAATGATTGCATTGATCTCTTTGGTGATCAACTCGATGAAGAAATGGCCCATAAGATAAGTAAACAGCCCACTGAATGTGTGTTAGTGTTAGAAAACAATAATAATAGCTAAGAGACCATACAAGGCACCCAAAATGATCTAGTGCATCAACCATTTTCAAATATTGTTAAATATTCTGAATTTTTTTCTCATGAAGTACAACTAGTTTAATACCACAAATGGCAATTATGTATCTCAATTTTGCTGATAATATTTCTGGATGGAGGGTTCCGATTACAACCAAAATAAAAGCCTTCCTTATGCAGCTATTCCATCTTTTAACAGGTAGGCATCTTTGACAAAGCAGCCCAGGGAACTCCATTGTCTTTCCTTATGCATATGTGATGATGGCCTGTGATCAGTGCTTTCCCTTGTCTGTGCTTGCTGGTTTTGTTCCTGCACAAACACTGCTCCATTGTTCACAACAAAAAGCATGGTGTAAAAAAACACCCAGAAAAGAACGGGAGAATTGGACAACTGTCATTCTTGTGAGCATAGGGCATCAGTGCTGCATGGCACAATATCCACATTAAATAATCATGCCATTGGCTCTTAAAGAGATACCAGATCTTCACCTCTAGAATACAAAGCCTCTGATCGTGATACATTAGGATGAAGCAAATTTAGCAAATCTGATTTTGCATATATTGCCATTATGGGTTTGCAATAGTTATGTTAGGAAGATTGCTTCGAGAATTCTGGAAGTTATATTCTCACTGCATCTGCTCAAATTTTTATAACAATACCAACCTAATTGCTATGAGCTGAGAATAGTCTTGTGTAGATTATGTTTAAAGACTGGGCTAATATTAAGCTCTATACATCTCATAGGCAATATGGTCTATTGTATTATTAGCTAACAAGACAAATGTGAAAAATGTGCATATTATAAAAACATTTTATCTAGAAAAATATGAGCAAATGCTGGTTAGGTTATTAATGATATTATTAATATGTATAGCCTATCCCAATGTCAAACACAAACAAGAAGTGTGAAACATGCCAGGTTCTCTTCAGAGTTGACAAAACTTTCCAATGCTTAAAAAACATAAATAAGAAAAATCTCATAACTGAAAAGCCAAATGACCTGAAATAGCTGTGCTTTAGATCAGGGGTCTCCAACCTTGGTAACTTTAAGCCTGGAGGACTTCAACTCTCAGAATTCTAACTGGTAGTAAAGGTAAGTAGAACCCACCCCTGATACATGCACGTCCCGGTTTGGGCACTCGGTGCCGAAAAGGTTTGCCATCACTGCCCTAGCACTTTCCCCAAATGTTGGTCTAGAAAGGGGATTGAGTCAGGAGACTAATTGGTCAGGACCCCAGTGGGAAGAATGGTTTTGTTTTTATTCTTGTTTTTACTGCCACAGCATAGGGTCATTATGTGAGACAGGCAGTCATATAAGTTATGTAAACAAGTAAAAATCCAAAGGCAGCCCCATATATATATGTATGTATGTATGTATGTATGTGTGTATCTCTCTCTCTCTCTCTCTCTCTCCCTCTCTCTCTCTCTCTCTCTCTCTCTCTCTCTCTCTCTCTCTCTCTCTCCGTATTCCAGCATCAGGGCATTTTCTTCCTGATAAAGTCAGTCAACATTTGCCAGATGGACTCTGGTCACAGTCTCCACATTCTTTTTAAGCAAGACCTGAGAATCCAGGAGAAGTTCCAAGTTACAAATCAGCTTCTTTGGGGGAGTGTGACCCCATCCAGAGTTACTATTAATGTTGCTGATATCTATTGACAGCAAGTTGCTTCGTCAAGGAATGGTTTAATCTGGACTTATTTTACTATTTATTCTGTCACAGTCTCTGGACACCAATTTAGGACTTCAGAAACTTCTTGGCGCAGCCCATGATGGCGATGTATAACTGAATATCATCAGCATACTAATAGTAACATCATCCTGAACCATTTTAGCTTGAACCACAGTCACTTCATTCATGTACAAATTAAATAATTTGGAGGGAAACCCAGAGGAGCGTCACACTTTAGGGACTTAATCACAAACCTCCTCCTGACTCTGACTGGAAGTATCCACTAAAGTAGAAGCAGAAACACCATAAAACAATACCACCAGCTGCCTTGTCCTGCAGGTGGCCCAGGAGGATATTATAATTGATGGTACTGGACATGATAAAGAGATCTATGAGATCAAAAGGGCTATGTTATCCCATATCAAGGTCCTAGCAGAGATAATCAGCTAGAACATTCAGTGCCATTTCCATTCCTTAACTAGCCCAGACTAAAAAGGATCTAATAATCAATTTCAACTAGAATCCTCTGCAGTGCCATTGATTTTTCCCACTGCCTTCTTGACCAGTTTGCAAAGAAAAGAGTTTGAATCCTGGGAGAAAGTTGTAAAAAAAGAAAAGAAAAAGCAGTCCCTTTTACTGTAGAATAATTTTTCGTGGCCAGAGTTTCTTTTATTATATAACTATATTTGGATATTTTTATCTACTTTGCTGCACAGTGTCAACTGGTGGAAGAAAACATTTCTCCTGAGAGAAACATTCTTAATGCAAATGCCTTTATTGTTAAGAATTAGCACCAATAAAATGATGCTAAAAAGCACCATTTTTGGACAGTACTGATGCGCTCATGATATCTCATTGGATTAAGATTCTCTGGATTACTTGGCTTTATTAAACAAGGGGTCTACCTTTTGTAGCATTTGAAATTGTGAATTGTTATGCTATCAAAATCAAACTGAATGATAATCCAATTATAATCAATTCCATAATTAAAATGCTTTGTAATTCAGCACATACAATAGCCCTATGTCTGCAGTTAAATACAAGACAATTATTTCACTTTCTCAGCAACAGAAATATAGCCATTTCCTTCCTTCTGTGACAGAAGCATATTTCCGAGATATATAGGATATGCACATTTTCCATATATAAAACCTGTTAGGCAGTACTTCAGCAGACTGTACAAAGTATCTATAGCATAATACTTCATCCTTCCATTCATATGCATAATTTATCCATAGACCAATTATGTGAGTACCCATTCAAAATGAATTCATAAAAATAAAAAAATCTGAATTAGCCTGCAATCCAATATACTCAGAACATAAAATTTAGAACATCTTCTAGGTGGGAGAAAGCCCCATTAAATTCATTAGCACTGAGCTGTACTTTTCTTTCAATCTTCCTTTTTATGTACCAAATCATCTATGACTTGGCTCTTGAGCTGCATGTCATTCGCCAAGATCTCCTATCAGCAATTTTAATTTCATTATTTCTAAGGAAAACCCAACCCCAAGTAGGGTAGAAGGAAGTCCAGAAGGAAAAGGGTTATTATGACAGGTTTACAGAATGATTGCCAAGATATAACTGATTCTTTTTGAAACTAGTATTAAAAACTTACTACATAATGAGGGCTGGAAGAACGCATTTATAATTATTATTCTTTGACTCAGAATAATTACAGTGCAGTATATTCCATAATGAGTCACCAGAAATAAATGTGATTTTTTTTTATTTTCAGCGGTGACAAACTCCCATCTGAAGTCAGTGGAAGCTTTGACTTCACTGAAAACAGGATTTAAACATTGTTTCATTTCCTCCTCCTTATCAACTTAGCATTGATGAGAGCTGAAACATATTGTTTCACACAATAAACTTGGCTTCACCTCAGTCCAACTCAAACTGTATTGCAAAATACTTGCAATAATTGGCAAGAATTTGTGTTTATAACAACCGGATAGACAGAGCCAAACAAGAAGAATCCAGAACAAAAGAAAAATAAGAGAACATTGAAGCTGCTTCTAAGTGGCAGAACCTTTTCAAATGTATCTGATAGCTCTCAAATCATAAGAGACAACTTGTTCCCTGACAATTATGCATATTGTTAGACTGGTTATGTAAATATACATCCTTGATATATTTTACAACCTTTTAAATTCAGTGTTGACAATTATTATTTTGGCAGTGTCAAAGTTCTCTTAGATTTGCAAATGCATGGGTATACTTTAAATGCAACCATTTAAAAGTCATTTTTGATTATTATGTTCTATATGATTAATGCCATGCAGAATACTGTAGAAAAGAACAGGTGTGTGGAAACAAACAATGCTTCTTAACTCACTGCAAACCTGCTTATAATGTAACAACTCATCTGAGCGATGGTCAAACCAGAGATGGCATTTTATCCCAATTTCCTTCAAAAATATATGAACGTTTCTTGAATTTTTAAAATATTATTTCTTATGAAGGACTAGTTTTCTTCAGTGTTAGGTTTTCTAAATATACTGCTCAAAAAAATAAAGGGAACACAAGCAGAAGACATCCGAGATCTGAATGAATGAAATAGCCTTATTAAATACTTTGTTCTTTACATACAGTAGTTTATACACTGCTCAAACAACTAAAGGGAACACAAAACTACTGTACTGTATGTAACGAACAAAGTATTTAATAAGGCTATTTCATTCATTCAGATCTCGGATGTCTTCTGCTTGTGTTCCCTTTATTTTTTTGAGCAGTGTACATTGGCCAGTAGTTCTCAGCAAACTAATGATCATGATAAAAATTAGTTGTTATTATTATTATTATGGCCAACATGCAAAGTTAAATATAATTCTAAAACAATAAAAATATATTAAACCCAAATATTGTAAAAAATAAAATTAGAAAATCTTCCCATTTATATTAAACTATTTAAGTGATAGTCCTAAGAAGGTAAGCATGAACCATTAAATGTAAATTTATATGCTATTTCTGAATAATGCTTAAAATTTTAAAATATAAATTGACAGAATTCTGCCTCGATGGCATAGGGGAGGAGATTCTGCTGTCTTGCAGCAAAGAACAGTGGTGATTGAGAAGTTTAACTACTCTTCTGGAATCACATCTGAGAGCTCTGTTAAAGGAAGGAAAATAAGACTGGTAACTATTTTGCTGTGCCTGATGGTCAAAAAAAGATCTTGACAATTCAATTTATCGAGAATATATAAAGCCCTGGAAGACAAGAAAATATAGCAAGAAATGTACATGATCTTACACTTTACTAAAGTTTCCCTTGTGGTCATTATAATAAGAACAAATTATAATAGATTTCTTTGCTGCAGCACAATCCTACACATGTGGAATGAGAAATAACATTCTTACAACAGTGGAACTTATGTTCAATTTAGTGAGCATCAAATTGCAGCTTAACATGGAAAATATCAGTTCATGAATAGTGGGAGTTCAAATACAGGTAATCCTCAATTTACAACAGTTCATTTAGTGACTATTCAAAATTACAACTGCACTGAAAAACACACAACTATTGCAGCATCCCCATGGTCACATGATGAAAATTCAGATGTTTGGCAACTGACTCATATTTATGATGGTTGCAGTGTCCCAGAGTTCTGTGACCTTCTGACAAGCAAATTCAATTAGGAAGCCTGATTCACTTAACAACCTGTTATTAATTTAACAACTATCATGATTCTCTTAACAAATGTGGCAAGAAAGGTCGTAAAATAGGACAAAATTCACTTAACAACTGTCATACTTAGCAACAGAAATTTTGGGCTCAATTGCGGTCATAAATTGAGGACTACCCATAATATTTAATTTAGTGCAGATTGGAGATTGATATCAAGGTCACATTTAATGTAACCCAAAATTCAGTAAATGGGATGTTACTGCATGCATAATTGAGGTTGGGGTTTTAGATGCTGCTAATGTTTGTATATGCAAGTGGGGAAAAGGTAGATTTTGTCAGAAGTAAACAGTACAAGTTTTAAAAAGAAAAGGCTTGGTTTTTTTTATCCACAGAAGTATCACTTTGAATAGCAAACAGCGCAAATTCAAATAATGTGGCTATTTTGTGAAATTCATTAACTCCACTAATTGAGACCGATTTGTAATTTATAATGGCAGAATGAACACTTAACTTGGCTATTGAAAGCTGCTCAGGTCCAGAACTTCTATGTTATTTTACATGAATTTAAGGGGAAAAAAATAGTTCTTCTAAGTCAAAATAATGTGAAAAGAAAACCAACCTGTTAAACCACCAACCAGCTTGATCTTCTTCAGCACAATTCTTTTCATAATTGTCATTATCTCTGTCTTTGGTGCTGAATTTCATCCCTTGGTGATTTGCCCACCATTTAACTTCAGGGTGAAACCCCCCAGTGAGAGAGTCACCAGCTGTTCCAGAATATTGCCCACAATTCATCTTGTAGGAATTCTAGCAGAGAAGTTGAGAAAAGGAGTAAGAGAATTGTATAAGTGGAACACCTGTCTGGCATTTAAGAGAGATCTTCAAAAAGGTGAATAAGAAACATTGTCCACAAAGAAATCAATTGAAAATGTGAAGGCTTCATTCATATGGTTGCATTTAATAACCAAGATTAGGTACATGTATAGCATAGGGGATTTCCCAGTTTTAAGGATTTATGCCTATAAGGAAGTTGAACATATTATTCTGTACTGATTTTTTTTTAAAAAATGCTCGAGTCAACAGTGAAAGAATTTAGCGTATTGTGAATTCCCATAATTTTAAATTTGAAAATTGGCAGGGGGATAGCGTGTTTTTATTTAATTAGGTGGTTAGTCACTCCATTTTATGATGTTGATTTTGTAGTCTGTGATTGCCAAAAGCTTGAAAGTTTACTGCCTTTGAAATTGAAATGCTAATTAAAAATAGTATTTATTCTTCTGTTTCTTCCTTATACCAAGAAGTTCAGATTATATACATACTACTTCATCTTCTTATGGGAACTCTGTGAAATTGGTTAGGTAAGAGACTGTTTCCATATCACTTCAGAGATCTCACTAACCCCTCCAAAATACATTATGGCTTTGAGTGTTATATGTAACCGGACCAGTGGTGGGTTTGTACTGGTTCACCCTGGTTTATGGTGAACCAGTAGTGGCGGCAGCAGGAGGCTCCGTCCACCCACCTGGATGTCATCACGGACGCTCTGCGCATGTGTAGAAGCACCGTGCACGAGTGAAGCAACCGCGCATACACACACACGCTCCCGGTTCCGAACTGGTAGAGAAGGTAAGTGGAACCCACTACTGAACTGGACACTCTTGACTGCCCACAATTAATGATGTTCACAGCTGAATGGAGATCTTTTAGTCTATCATGCTAAAACTCTCACACACACTCGCACACATCCAGAATTCTGAATGATACAATATTTGTGAAATAATTATTTTCTTATGCTGTGTATTTAGAATTCCAAGTTCTAATGAAGTTACTTCTACTACCTGCTCATCTGCAACTCGAAACTTTTCATACTGTGCAAAGCGCTGCTCATCCATAAAATCAGACAAATCGATCCTCAAGGTATAATTCCCTGAATTGAAAGGAACAAATGAAGGTGCAATATTCGGAAGAGAAGAAGGGAGAACTTCCATTTAATTCATTGCAGGCATTGAGAGAATTCAGATACCGTGGCTAACTGCTCATTTTTTAGTAGTTTGAATTTCTTATTGCTTAGCATGATACTGACATACCTTTGATTAATCATGGCAGGTTAATATGGAATTTTATTGAAAATGTGTTAACTGTTATTAAAAATAAATTTATTATATAATTGCAATCAGAGATCTTGCCCTTTACAGTCAGCAACTCAGCACTTTTTGTATCATGCATTAGTGATACCTAACCATGTAATTAACACCTGAATTATATTAACAGTGTGTGGTTCTTTGCTTTGTTCTGATTGTGAGGTCTGAACAGCTTGCTTATATAAGGAAGCTGTTCAGACCTCACAATCAGAACAAAGCAAAGAACTACACATATACATATACACAGTCAGACTAAAGAACCAAACACACACACACAAACTTATGTCCTGTGTTTACACATCCCAGACTTGAAATTAGCTGTTGGATTGTCAGACTAAACACAACCTATAACTAAATGCCCAGTGTTTTGAGAAATTCTCTCTTGCCTGGGTAGGGAAAAACAGTGGGAAATTTGCTTCACTCTAATTCCAGATTGATAGAGTTTGTAGATGTGGCTGTGATTTCCACTTGCCAGTAGGTGTTGTTTCTCTTTTCTCTATCAATTTGATTCATTGTCCAGAGCAGATACTTTAAATTATACAAATTGTAATAATCACATTGAGATTATTCTAAAGAACCAGCAAATATATGAATAAAATGCTGGAGATTTACGTTTTTTTAAAAACAAAATAACTTAAAATAGCTTTTAATAGTCAAGTGTCCTCTAATTCTGCTGGATCACAATCCATTATCCTAGATAAAGGAATGAAGGGAGCTGGATTTCAATTTAAATGGAAAGGGATACCAGGTTGGGAAGAAATTGCCTGGGGCCTTGGGACAGATAACATTTTTAAGAGAGACTCAGTAGTTCACAGGTATATATTTTGCCCCATACATCCATTTCTGCAGAATGCGTTTCTCATATATAGAAGTAAACCCTGCAAGCTGTAAAAATGATTTTAAATTCTTTTCATAGATGTCCTGGACATGCTTGCTTAGAAAAAAGTCCAAAAGTCCAAAATTCTACAAGCCCTATGCATCCCGCAGCTCAGCTACTTCAGTGGGCAATACATGGGGCTACCTTTGAAGACTATGCAGTGCCAGCAGTGATGGTTATGTCTCCTTATTCCCAGATGACATTCCTGCTCTTTGAGCTGTAACAGCTGCCAATTTGCTTCCAGGTGAGAGAGTGGCAGGGTTGGTGGCCCTTGGGTTCGTTCAATTAAACAATATAATCTACCAGAACACAGAAAGTGGGCCTTCTTTTTCACAACACTTGCCCTCTGGAATGAGACTACTACTGAGATCCAAGTGGCTCTCATCCTGATGGCATTTTTGAGAGCCTTAAAGGCCTAGATATTCTCCCAGTGTAGGCTGGTTGGTGCTCCATGCTGGATTTCTTTATATATGTCTTTTTGAGTTGGCTGGATTGATCATCCTGCTGAGTTTTTTGGGTAACTTTTTTATTTATCTTGTGTCTGTTTTGTCCCTTTTTTCATATTCATATTGTAATTTATTTTGTCTGTTACATTGTGAGCTGCCCATAGTAATCTGGAGTTGGGTGGCATCTAAATCAAATGAATTATATAAATATATTCCCTGAGAGATCACTATATCAGAATGCATCTAAAACTGTTAACAAACTCAGCAATAAATCACACTTAGAGACTCCTTAATTTGAACTACAACTGTGAAGAAATCCTACTGAGTACTGGCCTTCCTGCTCCTTGTTACAAAATCAATCAATTCCTTATTATTGGTTTTGGTTTTTCTAATAAAGTATTGTGTTTTTCTTACCCTGAGAAGTCAGATAATGAAGGTTTTTATTCCCAAGCCAGAATTCACCATTTGCTGAAGTAAAATCTCCAAAACCCTGCTCATATTCAGTCCAATTTCTGGAAAAAAGATTAAAACCACTCATCTGTATAAATCACAGAGGATTATCAAGTGGCTTTTAAACAGTTTGTGCAGTTCTCTAACAATTACAAATTACAAACATATATTTGGTTTCTAGGCAAAAAACAAAGGAAATTCAATTCTTTTTATAGATTCACTTTCTATTATGATCAATGACTACAAGGATTTGATTGCAATTTCAGGTCCTCCAGCAATAACAATCAATAAACCTTATTATATTCTCAAAGCAGAATCATTATGCTGCTTCTGATTAAAATAACAAGAAATATAGATTTGATTAATAAATGCTGCTTTTATGGTTTTTGAAGCTTTTAAAATAATCATTATATAATGGTTTTAGGAAATGATGACTTTATAGTCTTTATGTTTAGTGGATTGTTGTATACTGCTCAGTCACTTTCCATGAAATGGATAGCTATATTAACATAATAAAGAAATAAATCTTAAGTAAAAATTCATTAAATCAGTGTGAAATACAATAAAGACCACTGATTTCTATCTTCCTACACTTTCTGCTTCTCAGTGTAACAGTGTTTTACCCAGCAAGCCACCAAAGAGAATCTTGCTAGTTATCACATTATTTTACAGAAAGACTGTAAAATAATGTGACAACTAGCAAGATTCTCTTTGGTAGAGAATCTCTGGAAGTAAATTAGTTATCTAAGAGTCAACAAGAGCACCTGGACATTTTTGGTATTTGGGGGAATTTCAGGCCCAGTGCTTTGTGTCCATACAATTGATTCTAAAAATTAAACTATAATTAAACTATATCTGAACTATATGACCATAAAAAAGTTGCATTGAGCTACATTAGTTTGAGCATAAGTTTTTACAAAAGATACATTTTCATTTTTATCCATAAGAATTGTAAATGAATTTTGTTTCAAGAACAACAAGCCTGTGAGATGAATCTAGAGATTTTAATCTGTTTAACCAAAACCTTACCTATTATATTTTGTTTAATGAAAATCTTATCACTCCCACCAACACTGACAGAGCAAGCCACTAGTATATAAAAATAAGAACACACCTCACTCCCTAGTAGCACTGATGATGTCATCTAGTTTGGTAATGAAATGTCTTCAAGAAAGCAACCAAGCTTAGAGAGCACCAAGGACTTCACAGTTCAAGCCTGAATTACAAATATTCTCTTCTTACCTATTAAAATTTTGACTCCCATCTGACCGTCTCTGAAAGACTGTCCACCCACCTCCTTCTGTCATATCACAATAGGCAAAGAATTCACTGGGGCTCTTCAGAGGTTTCACCTTGTAAAATCCACTTTGTGTATGACCAGCAAGATAGATCTCAGCACAATCTGAATCACAGCAAAACATCAATGGATTTTTAAAATACAGTTTAGTCACATTCTCCTTCCTGCTATAAAATATTACATAGTATACCTACACAAATTTTAATTCAATGAGGCAAATGCCATTCATGGTTCATATATTGCTTCTTGCCAAAGTGTCCTGTTTATTTTTTTTATGTGTCTTTTTTTAGTTACATAATATTAAACATTGAAAAACTGAACAATAAAGGAAACCTATACAATGAAGGATGTATTTATTTAATTATAGTCACCATTTATAAGTGCATATCATATGTATTTGAAATTATAGGGGTTTTTTGAAAAAATATTGAATATGTTTAAAATATTCTTCTTGAGGTCACATATGCATACATATATGTATTTTTGTCCTCTCCAACCCCTGGATAATTTGTACGTTCAACATTATAAGTCTTAAAAGTTTTTGTCTTGATAAAAAGTTAACAGCAATAAAGAGGCAGCAAAACAAAACAAAATGGGATTGCACTTCTATTAGCCTGGATAAAATTGATCATTCCTCATCTAAAGAATTGCTAAGTGTCTTCTAAAATGGTATAGCTGGCAAATGCAAATCTCTTTGGCTTAATATTGATCATAGTTAATCTTCAAAAGTTAACCAATGATATTGATTCTGCATTTGAGTCAATTGGATAACTTTGCATTCCTTTACCATAAGCAGTGGATGATGAATTAGTGCTGGGAGAAATAGGGAACAAAATAGACATAAAATGTTAATAAAAGCTGACCTTTTCCGTCAGGCATAGGGTGATCTATCTCATCATGGCCTGATAGCAAAAGGACCCTAAGGCAGAACTAAGGAAATACTTAACAGAGTTGAGGTTGTAGCACAGAACAGTCACAAGCAATGGTTTTAATAGAACCTGGTTGCTTGATCTCTTCACTGAACCATTCAATGATAGAACACAAAGCTTATGCAAGTTGGCTAGAATGACTACTAGTTACTTACTGAAACTGCATTAAATTCAAACATAGAACTGAAGTTGGGTTAGCCCATAGTATAATGCTTAGCCAGCCATCATTAACTGTCTTGGTTACTCTTGTTCAATGTTCTGCTTTAGCTGAACCATTGGTTTATGAAAAATAACTGGAAAATTCTACTGGAAAAATTCAAGATATATAATTTCACATTTAAATAAGTAATGTAAAACACCTGCAAATACACATCCTGCAAATATTTTTCACTGTTATTACCAGCTCAGTTTTATTTCATGTCAATAATTGATGGCAAACATGTCAAAAAACTACTTCACCCTTTATATGCCGTTTCCCTAGTCAAACTTAATATTCTTTAGTTTCTTAAGATTTGACCATGCTACATGGTTTTTAACAAGGAGTTTCAAACTTGAAATCTAAGTTTCAACATATGCCAGAATTTAGCATGTAGAAAATTCTAATAACCAAATACTAGTGTACAGCACAATATGAATCACATTTAATGAATTACATGAAAACACTTCTTAGTAAGTGCACTTAAACCTCCAGAGACTACTATTCAGATTATTGCAATGTAATATAAGTACGTAATTCTTTCTACGCTGTAAAATGTATGCTAAAAATAATATTTTACATCTCTGTAAAATATTGTTGTACATTTCCACCCCGGGTCACCCCAATGATGCCCTTGAAATGATGTCCCGGTGCCTGGAGGCCATGCGGATCTGGATGGGGAGGAACAGGCTCAGGCTCAACCCATCCAAGATTGAGTGGCTGTGGTTTCTGGCATCCCGATATAGTCAGTTGACACCATCACTGACTATTGGGGGCGAGTCTTTGGCCCCCACGGAGAGGGCTCACAATTTGGGTGTCCTCCTGGATACGCAGCTGTCCTTGGAGGAACATCTGACGGCTGTAACCAGGGGGACTTTTTATCAGGTTCGCCTGATCCGCCAGTTGCGGCCCTTCCTAGATCGGGATTCCTTGTGCAGAGTCACTCATGCCCTCGTCACCTCTCGCCTGGACTACGGAAATGGTCTCTACATGGGGCTCCCCTTGAAGAGCACCCGGAGGCTCCCACTGGTCCAGAATGCGGCTGCGTGGGTAGTTACGGGAGCCGCATGGCACTCCCACATAACACCTCTCCTGCGTTAGCTGCACTGGCTTCCAGTGGTCTTCCGGGTGCGCTTCAAGATGTTGGTTATCACCTTTAAAGCGCTCCATGGCATAGGACCTGGATATCTTCGAGACTGCCTGCTGTTACCAATGGCCTCCCACCAACCTGTGCCTCCCACAGAGAGGGCCTCCTCAGGGTGCCATCGGCCAAGCAATGTAGACTGGTGGCCCCCAGGGGGTGGGCCTTTTCTGTGGGGACACCTGCCCTCTGGAATCAGCTGCCCGCAGAGATATGAAGAATCCAAGACCTCAGTGCCTTCCGCCGTGCCCTTAAGACCTTTCTTTTTCAGCAAGCCGGGCTGGCTTAACACATTTTTAAATGTTTTTAATATATGCCAAACGCATATATATCTTTTTAACTGTATTTTAATGTTTGTATTTATGTTTTTACTTTGGCTGTGCACTGCCCTGAGTCCTTCGGGAGAAGGGCGGTATATAAATCTGACAATAAATAAATAAATAAATAAATAAATAAATAAATAAATAAATAAATAAATAAGGTAAGTCATTTTACTAAACTTTTGATTGATGAAGAGTAGAAAACCTAAACAAAGGCCCTTTAATAAGGAGAAGGAGAAGGAGAAAGAGTGGGTTTAGAGATCTGCTTTTTCAAGCATTGTGCAGGATAAAATGCTTTACGTATCCTGCGCAATGCTCGAAAAAGCAGATCTCTAAAACCCACTCCTTCTCCTTCTCCTTCTCCTTCTTAAATGGCCTTTGGATTCTAAACTTTGATCAACCCCCAGGTTTGTAAAAGGAATGTTTTGAGCCCACCTGGAGAATAAAGATGAAATTTATTTCTAACCTTTGTACTTTGTTTCTTCTCCCAGGTTGATGACACTGTTTTCACCTTCTTTATCTCTGCTCTGTATATCTCTCTCCATTAAGAGGTTCACAATTCTTGCCTGTTGTTGCTTCACACTGTGTTCCAGAAGTCTCACTTGGGCCTGGAGTCTCAGCTGCTCTTGGAAACAACTTCCTACAGTCTTCAGGAAGGAGAGGAAAGTCATGGGGCTTATCAGTGAGTTGCTAAGTATTTCAGTGTCAGTTCATAACCAGTTCCCACAAAATTCTATTACATTCAAATAATATGGAATGCACTTTCTTAATAGATAGCTGAGCTTTTAAGTTCTTGTTTATTGCTCCTAGTTATATGCATAGGACAGATTCCTTTTGTTCCTGAAAAGGTGCCTAAGCCACACATATAGAGCTAAAAATAATTGGGGGATTTTCAAGATATTTAGAATCATGTGTGTTGAAAACCCTCTCTTGACTCTGTTTTTTAAAAGTGGCAAAAGAATTTCAAGAGAATTCAAATGATACCAAGTGAACTAATAAAAAACCAGAGTATACATCCCCTTATTTTTGTTATTCTAAATAAAAGTTGATAAATGACACACATTCTCTAATTTTCTTGCTTGTTCTGTGCTATTTTTCTCACATTTAATTGATGCTGATTCAGGACATAGAGTTTATTCTGGAAATAGAGAAAAAATTGGCACCAAATAAAAGGCATTTATGAATAAGGAATTTCATAGACATGTTTTGAAGACAACTGAGAAAGGAGGTATGAAGTAATCATTATGTGTGCATGTGAGAGTGCCTAACACCAGAACCTAATCTGAACAATACTTAATTTGGCAGATTTCCTAAGTAGAGTAGAAAGGATATTTATTTATGGGAAATTCTTCATATGGATAGGACCTAATTAACTACATTCTACCAGGAAGAAAGTCAAAAAGCATGTGCTCTGTGCCTGAAAAAAAAAGCAGAAGGGAGTGACATGAGATGAGCAATTAGACAAGATGAGACAAAGAGAAGGAAGAGGAAAAAATGAAGGCACATCCACCCAACTGTTCTGCTGTGTTCCCATTCAAAGGCCAGCAGGAAATCATGCCATTCCAAATCCTGTTCAAACAGACTCCTGAAATGGGAGTCTGCTGCATTGGTATCCATTCAACTTCAACACATGATATTCCAAGGACGATGATTGGTCCTTGGAATATCATGTGACAGTCCAGACCTTTCAATACCACCCACCATCCAGGAGGAAAAGCCTCCTCTGCTATGTACAACCTTGTAATTGTTCCTTAGACACAGTAATGATTTTCCCCAGTGATCATCCATGATTAACAGAACCTTTACAAAATCTTTACAAGGTAAGAGCAATAAATTTTTTATATATCTAGGCCACCATCCAGTGGTCATTTGAGTTCTGAAATGCAGCTGCTGGAACCATGTTGAGATTGCAGGTTTGCTGTAAGGATCCATGTGGGAGTTGCAAAGTGCAGGCACTGTGATGGGAATGTCACAAAAGCACAAGAATTGATTTTTTAAATATTATAGTTTCATTTGCATGCACTTAGCCAGGGATGAGGTCAACCAACTGGCAGGTCAACCTACACATTCAAAAAAGATAAAAAAGTGGCTATGGAAGCTGGGGTTCCCTCATAGCCAAAACATCACTGAAGTAGTAAAGGTGCTGAGTCTAAGATACAGGATAGAAAAAGCTGTCCTAAGCAGGACCAATTACGATCAACACTCTGCCACCTCCAACCGTATCATCTTAAATTTTTTTCTTCCATGTGCCACAGAAGATCTATCCAGAATAAAAAGAAAACACATCTTACAGAATGAGGGATCTCAATTCACTTCTGATCTGCCTCAGCAGTGAACTGACAGTAAGATTCAGGTGTTAACCTGAGGGCATGTCCTTTGGAAACACTGGTGTGCCATTGTATCAGGGCAATATGGATACAGACATACCGTAGAATAAATCTAACCCTTTCCCCCAATTATGGGCAGTAAGTTGTAAGTTGCTTAACAGCTAGTACTATTGGATCTACATTGCCAGCATTCCCAAGTCATATCCTTCTCCTGGTTTTCACCCTGTACTACATTTTTAAAATATTGGTTTTAAAAGTGGGAAACTAGAACGCTACACAACAAAACCTTCATGAGTCATTTGTATTTCCAATAACCTAAGAAGTTTTGCAAATTTAGGAACTGACCATATCAGTTATGGAACATGCCTCAACATTCTCTAAAAATTCCAAATATGCCCACAGGACTAAAAAGACCAGACTCTGGCTTACATTAGTATTTTTCAGTTCCAACATCTGCAGTGGGAATTCCAGAGATTGAAAAAAATGACATACAATGTCAACTGTGCTTTGCTTGGGTTTGCTTTGCTTTGCTTTATACAAATACTGTATATATTCATCATGTTCAAAATCACATTAGTCTGTTAATGTTCCCTTTCTATTATTGTGACAACACCAGAAATTATTTTCTCATTATTGTGTATTTGAAATTCATCAGTTTAAAACATAAGCCTTCCCATCATTCAACTTAATTAAGTTTGGCTGGACTTAAAAGTAGGCAATTACCACAGCCATACCACTATTATATATATATAATGTGTGTGTGTACATATATATACACTATTATTTGTGGTAAAAGAGAAGATTAATCTGGGGCTAGGCCTTTTCCCTCCTTTTTTTTCATTCTACAAGACATAATTCAGGGTTGTTGAACAACAGCAGGAAATGAACTAGATGAGAAGGCAGCGATGGGTGAATATGTAAGACTGGTAACAAGAAAATTAAGTCATTATTTTTAAACCAAGTCCTTCTCAACTTTGGCGTTCATTTCTAGGCTGTGTTAAATAAGCATTTGTTGCTCAAGGCATATTGACTCTGGATCCAGATGGAGTGCATGTTCACTGTTTAAATATTTGGGTTGCATTTTAGATTTTTTGTTTTTCATTTAATTCCTGCCGTTCAGTGCAATCCAATCTATGGCAGTAGAAAATATGTGCCGAGATTAGGTAGCTAGTCAGGAAAGCATCCTGGAGGGAGAGGCACAATGACAGTCCAAAGGAGCTTTGCTAATGCTCTAACAATCAGTATAAAAGGCAGTTTTCCTGTGGCTAACTGTGTTGCTGGGTCAGCATAAGGAACGAGTTTTTCTGTGATGGAGGAGAAAATGCAGAGAGAGGAATACCCTGTGGCAAATGTGTCATTCTTCCATCTCTTAATGTACTTTTGTCACTAGAAAAAAAGATGAAAACAGCTTTGAGAAAATAGGCACGCATGCAACCCCTAAAAATGAAGATCAATAAATATTTATCTGGAAGCACTCCTAGTCTAATGAAACAAGCATGACAGGAAATGGACTTTTTCCTATTTAACGACATGAGCTCGTTAAACCCATGAGCTTCATGCAAGAAAGAACTATTATTAAACAGCAAAGGGATCACTTCAATTCTCAAGACTGGGATAAGAATGCCAAAACTGGAAGAAAATTCCCAGGAAATGAATTTTGGGACTGATCTAGGATTGTTCTGTTACTTATTTGAAAATTTTATATGATCATCTCTATTACATAAAATACCAAATTAAAACTCATAATACACCACCAACATTATAAAGTAACTTCACAAAAACAAACACACACATATAGAGTATATACAAACAGACTAACTATTAGCTGCTCCAGGTCAGGGTTGTCCAATCTTAACAATTTTAAGACTTGTGAACGTCAACTCCCAGAATCCCCCAGCTTGCCATCCCTCTGTAGTTGCTAGCTGATTAGGGTCTATCCTTTAAATGTTGCTCAGTGGGATTTTAAAAAACACGGATGCTCCATACTTTGACTGTCCAATTGTAAAATATCGAAGGAAGCAGGAGCACTTTGATCTTTCTTTCTTAAATATGAACTTCTTAACACATTAAAAACAATCTTTTTGTTAGAATGCAATGGAAGGTTGAAAAGATAGTGATGAAAAGTAATTTTAACTGCAAGTAATTTCCATCTGAAACAAGAGGTTTCAATATCCAGTTTTTACATCAGACTTATCATATCACTCCCCTTCTCCCCACACTGTCTCTCCTCAGTTACTTTTCTCCTTGCCCACTTGTGATACAGGAAATAAGAATGGCTGGTAAAACAGTTTGAAGTACTCTGTGGAAATAAGTTTCTAGACACAAATAAGAAAGTTCAATTTTTCATGTATCCCTGTTATGTCAGTTTTCAATTTGCCTTAAAAGGCATATTTGGCAATAACAAACCTAAATAAAATCACATTCCTGAGTTTCTCATCCCACTCTCTCAGTTTTATAATGGATGGATGGATGGATGGATGGATGGATGGAAGGAAGGAAGGAAGGAAGGAAGGATGGATTATTTCCTTCTCCCTCAAAGGAAAAAAAAAGTTTTAGCTGTCTATCACTGGTAGCATATCTGAAGTGGAAATTCTGCATTTATATTCTTATATACTAGGGCTTTTACTATTGACATAAAAATACTAAATACAGTTTTGGGACTTTTTCTGAACAATTTACCAAATCCCAAAGCCTCCAAGCATAAGAAAAGGAGTGGATCAAACACCTATCTGAATAAATTACATCACAAATAATCACCAGCTTCTTTCTCACCCCCTTGTTGATCTTTAAACAAGTCACTTAAGGACAACACTAGAGTTCTTGAGTTGAGAATGCTACATTTGCTTCTTCTGGAAAAAGACATTTTCTGCACGTTTACAAATACCATAAGAGAAATCTGCTGCAAATTCTATCACCAAAGAAATTAGAACAAAAATTCCATTTTTTTTTGTTCTATAACTATATTTCACAAGTAAGTGGAATTAAAGCCACTCACCTGGAACACTACAGAATTCTAAATTTTAAAGTGATTGAGGATAGTCCCTTAAAATCCATTAAAATGCAAAACAAAAACATAATTATTGGGTGGGATGTTATTTAGGTTGTGGCTAGATCACTAATTGGAAACAGATTGTAATTGACTCAGCCTCCTTTACTGAGTACATTTTTTAAAAAAAATCTAAATTTAAAGCCAGATATTAAACAGCTGTTGTCAAACTCTTTGGTTTCCAGGCATATAACTGCATGTTTCTCCCAGATGCTATGACTGATAAACGCACACACGCTTTTATAACTTATATGGCCAGTTACAAGCTAAAATTTACATCCAAGTAGATACAATATTTTACAAAAAGTGTTCTTTTTTTTTTTTTTACATGAGCCCCATAAGGCAATTACAAATGCTGATAATTTGAAATGATGAATTTGGAATTTAGCATCCAGACAATTACAAACAACAACAAAGATATTTCTTTGTGTCTCAAACCATATCCACACCTCTTACATTTTAATTCTAATCCTATGTTCATTGACCGTCAAGATGATAATAGTAAAATCTAGTTACATTATTCAAGGATAAAGCAGTTCCTTCTGATGATTGCTTGAGGTAAGCTTTTACTAACATAGTAAAGGAACACACCATCTACATGTTCTGACAACATTATAGCTGAATAATTATTAGCTATTAGCTATTTCTACCTGTTGATGTATTAAGAAGAAAACTTACAAAAACAATGAAAAATATTATAAACCACATATAACAGTGGCTAAGACGCTGAGCTTGTCAATTGAAAGGTCGGCAGTATCCGTAGTGCTGCGTAATGGGGTGAGCTCCCGTTACTTGTCCCAGCTTCTGCCAATTTAGCAGTTTGAAAACATGTAAAAAATGCAAGTAGAAAAATAGGGACCATCTTTGGTGGGAATGTACACTGCTCAAAAAAAATAAAGGGAACACAAGCAGAAGACATCTGAGATCTGAATGAATGAAATCGCCTTATTAAATACTTTGTTTGTTACATACAGTAGTTTTGTGTTCCCTTTAGTTGTTTAAGCAGTGTATAAACTACAGTATGTAAAGAACAAAGTATTTAATAAGGCGATTTCATTCATTCAGATCTCAGATGTCTTCTGCTTGTGTTCCCTTTATTTTTTTTGAGCAGTATATATAACACCAAGACTTAGGTCTGGTAACAAAGGGGAAATGAGGAAGCAAAATAAGAAAGGAAATGAAAAATGTTTGGAACTAGCAGGGAGCATCTGCCCTCTGCTGGCATAACTACTTATGAGCAAGAGATGAAGGAAGAAGTTAAACTTAACCATTTTTTGTTAAGATCCTATTTGTGAAAAAGCTAATGAGAACTAGAGAGGCAAAGCTTAAAGTTCTACTTTACCTCTAACCATTTCACCAAAGTTACAAAAATATAACAAAACTTTGAAATTGCCCAATCTTTGAGGCGCAAATTCATGTTTTGTCCCCTTCCCTACCAGTTGCTTTTAAAAATCAAACAGGGTTCTAATTATTTAGGAGAATCTGTTCTATGCAGCTCATTTCTGGATCACTACATCCCCTTTGTGAATACAATGTATGCATGGCTTTTTCACTTCACTCCTCCCTTTTAAAAAATATACAGAAGCTTTCTTGCAAACAGTAAAACTTACCGAGTCGAGGGAGCATATGATTGTTGTGTGTAGAAGTAGTAAGTACAATAAACTCCACTTTTCCATTTTGATGAACCTGCAAAGAAAACCAGCACTGTTTGTCAGCTGAAATGCAAGCATAAGTTCTCAGCACTTGGCACTGTGCAGGAGCCATTAGGGATTGGCTGGTTGTTTTCTCATTGGCTCTTCATTGTCTTGGTAGGGTGGAGATATATAGTGATAGAAATCAGATTACTTCAAAGTTCTAGCCAATTTTCAGGCAAGATAGGCAAAAAAGAGCATATCTTAAGACAAATTTAAGGTTAAAAATGTTTCTTAACCAGGTGTCACCCTGAAAAAGAAATTATAGTTTACATTTTTTAAAAAAAAAATAGTGCTACAGCCCTAAAGGGTATTGGGACCTACCTGGGCTAGATGAGATACCATTTTATGACTTTTTATCAGCTGAAATACATATATATTATATGTATAACTATATATTTATTAACTGATTTGGTCTTTGAAGACTTGAACTGTATGCCTTGAATAACTCATTGGTGAGTAAACCACAATTGGTTAGGCTTCTACATTATGCTACATAAACATAAATCATGATTTACATAGTATAGAACTCACACTATCTGTTGAATTCAATAAATTATGTGACATTTGTGATCCCAGTTTTCTTTAGTATTGTAGTACATTATTCTCTCTTGATCCTGGATTGGTTTAATTTAGTCATCTTTAAAGTGTAAGAATAAAGTAACAACTGATGTCCCTTTGATTTCAATGGCTTAATTGATGTACAGTACAACTAAATCTACATGCAATGAGTTGCTCATAGTATCATCATATTTGTCTTTGCAATAGAGAACGTACTCTCTTCGGTTTTTCGTTAGAGTAGAAAATAGCATAAAATTTAACATGCCTTCTTTGTCATAGTGTCTGCCTGATGAAGTAGCTTCCTCCTGGAAATATGGATGGCCCAACCTGGTTGGCTTTCTTGAGGGCTGTAAAAATCTGGTTTTCCCTAGCCTGGGGCTAGTGTAATAATCAAGTTCCCATAAGGGTGTGAAATGTTGGCAATTAGATTTTTACAGGGGTCTCAATTTGACTTTTCTTGCTTTTTCTTTTAATTGATTAGATTGTGTATTGCATTATCTTTCTCCGCCACCCATTTGCTATATCACTTTAGTTATTAAATTTTTATGCCACCCATATTCCCTATAACAGTGATGGCTAACCTTTTTGCCATTGAGTGCCAAAAGCGTGGGGAGCGTGGGGGGGTGGTTCACGCACATGCGTGCCCACACCCATAATTCTATGTGCCCCGCCCCCCATGTATGTGCTCATGCCCTCCCCCGCACTCCCTCCGCTTTTAGTACACAATGGCACGGTGGGCCAGGTAGGCCCCTTTTTTGCCCTCCTCAGGCTCCAGAAGCTTTCTAGGAGTCTGGGGAGGGTGAAAATGGCCTTTCCCACCCCCCCCAGAGGCCCTCTGGAGACTGGAAATGGCCCGTTTCCTGACTTCCAGTGGGCCCAGAAGGCCCGAAAATCAGCTGGCCAGTACTCGCATGCGCACTGGAGCTGAGCTAGGGCAACGCTCGCGTGCCCACAGATATGGCTCTGTGTGCCACCTGTGGCATGCATGCCATAGGTTCGCCATCACGGCCCTATAAGGTGACTCTGGGAAGTTTACAGGTTATGAAAAAAGTAGAAAAATTAATTAAAACGTTAGAACATTAAAGCTACACAGATTAAAAATTTAAATCTATAATGAAATCAGAACCAAGAGGTTGTCTTATCCCATCCGCCACCTCCAGTAGTGATCACCCCTCTTAAATCCCTAGGCCAACTGGCAAATCCAAGTTTTAGTACCCTTCCAGAAGGTCAAAAGGGCAGGAGCAGTTCTCACCTTCAATGGTAGAGTGGTCACAGCTGGAAAGGCTCTTTTCTTTGAACCTGCCCAAGGGGATCTGTAGCAGGTCTCTTCCGCTGGCGCAAGTGAGGTGGGCAAGTCCCATCAGGGAGAGATGGCTCCTCAGATAGTCCAATCAATTGATCTTAGAATGTTAATATGATAATGGTTTATCTACTTGAGATTATTATGCATCTCTATGTACATTTTTTCAGATCCCAAAATGTTCTCTCAGTTACAATCCAATAAAATTTTCACTGTGGTACATAGCTATTTGGGGAAGTTCCGATGTTCAAACTAAAGATATTAAAACACACATTTAAATTGTGCTGGCTAAATAATGATTTGCATATTCATTTGTTTGCTAATGAGATTCATTCTTATAGGTGATAGCAAAACAATAAACCAAATGGTATCAAAGTCTATAATTAGCTAAACGGAACAACAAACAGTCTACAGTGCCTCATTAAGTTGCCAGATTAATCTGAAAAACACAGCTACAGCTCGTCATGTATTAACTAGGGCTGGTGGTATTTTGTTATGTATTGATATTTGCAAAAGAAAAGATCACTTGCAAGAAAAGCTAAATAATCTTACATAATATCAAATATAGTGGGAACTTGTTATATAGTATATATAGCATCAAATACTAATCTTCCAGCTCTTAGCACTTTCTCCCATATAGATATAATGGAACTGATTTTAACCATATTTATTATACTGCTATTATGCTATTAAAATGCTGCTATTATAATACATGCTATGTCAGATTGCAACTCAGAAATAGGTATTAAAGTTGTGAAGTGTTCAAATTGCTATTTCTGGAAGTTATTGATTGCCACATAAAACTAATCTGGAAATATCATATAAAAATATCTACAGAAATCTCTACCCAGGTACTTTTTATTAAGAGATTCATACACTGCTTTTCATGATGAGGAAACAATGGTGCCTGTGACAAATGGAAGCATTTGCACAGCAGTAGGAACATCTAGTTTATATCTAAGCAGTTCACAGTGATATGTATGACAAAATCAACAATGTAAAATACAAACATAATAGTACAAAAATAATAAAGATAATACAATAATATCCTTCATCAACACTCACTCATGGCCCTGCTTTTTCTAAATAGTGTACTCTTCCCAGGCCTTCCAGAATAAGCAGGATTCAATAAGTCTCTGGAATACCATTGGGAAAAGAGACAAGATGTTGTAGAGATGAAGAGTCCATGCTGAGAATGCCTATTTTGAGGCTCCTATTGTTGGACAGCCCAGGTTGGGGAATCCATAGCAGGAATGCTATTTGTGTGCAATGGATAGGGAGATTCTACTTCACCAAAAACTCATTGATCCTGATATCAGATAACAACATGCTTGACTGGAAAACATACACTTGATGCCTGTAGAGGATCTTTAAGAGAAGCTATACAGGGAATGAATTGCAGTCATCTAGCTGAGAAGTGATATGGATATGAGTAGCTGATCTCAGTACCCCCACTCCAGGAAAGACTGCAAGTGGCACATCAGACAAAATGGGGAAAAACTCCTGCCAGCTAGAGCCTCTATTTGCCCCTATATTGTGACCCTACTCTTTGAGGGGAAGCACAACCCCCCCAATGGTTAATGTTGATACAGTCCTGGAATCAGTTGGTTTCTGGATTAGCCACCATTCCATTTTGCTTGGCTTTAGTCTGAGACTGTTCCACCCCATCCTACACTCAGGATTCCTACTACTGGTATATCTCCCATTTGGTTCATCATGGTAGAACTCTATAGCAGGAATCATCTGATGATATGTCACCCATCAGATTTATGAAGATGCTAAATAAAACAGGAAAGGGGAATGAGCATTCAAATTCCCATAGCTAGAAAAGTTGTTAATAGATTATTCTGATTTAGAATTAAATGGCAGTTAAAATTGCATAAAAGGAACACAAGCAACATAAATCATAACATATTTATAGTTACAGTGGAAATATTATACAATACAATATTCCACCTAAACCTACCAACCATCTAACTTTACTAATAGAATTTAGAGAAAAACAGTTTTCCTGTCATGGTGATTATCTGCTCACCACCTTTCCAACAATTAATCTGCTACATTGAATAAATCAATTTTCAAAATCTTTTTAAATGCATCCAAGAATGTGTAAAGCCAGAGAATGGTAGAAGAAAATTGCATAGTGTAATAGTAACAACAACATTTCTCTTTTTCTGATGAGGCGTTTTTAATTAAAAAACAAATATATATGGAAAACAGCCACATCAAACTAAAAAAAACAACAACCCCATGTTGAAGGGTATATAACTATGGGTACAATTTTAATATTTATCATTCTGAAACAAGATGTAAATACTATTTCAAAAGGCTTATTGTATCTCTTAATTTTAGATATAATTAAACTGAAAAATATAGATGGAACAATTTAATTGCTATGCACATTTTACAGTTTCTGTCAAGATCATGCTTATATTATATCAACAGTATCATTTTAATCCAGTGATATCAAATAACTTTACATTTAAATATCTAACTGAAAAAGATTGGGTAATTCCCAGGACTGGGCAATTCCAACATAGATAGTGAAAACCTATCTTAATCAGCTTCCTGTCAATTGTAGTGACAGGCAAGGATCTTGTGAGGGGTTTTTTTTTTTTTTTTTGGTAAGAGAATTGCCTTTTCTCTATTATATGGCCTTCAAGTCAAATTATGTGCCTTGAAGGCCGCATAATAGATTAGTGCTCACATAGTAATTGGGGGGGGGGGGGAAGCTTTTGCTATTGTTGTATATGGAAATGCATTCATATTCTTTGCAAGAAAGTCTCCAATGCTTGCCTCAATAGCAAGATGCAGTGCTATCAATCCAGTCTTATGTGAATTTACTTGAGATTTCTTCTGAATTTACTTATTTAAAAAGTTCTAGGAAACATACTTTAGAATTGCAACCTACCTTCCTTCCTTCCCCCATCTTCATCCTTGCCAGCTAGTAAAAATACATCACTTCTAGTCGAAAAAATTGCTTGTTTTACCTCTGAAAACTGGAAAGTTAGTATCTTCAGAGCTGATCCAAGTTTTCCCCAGAATCTTTTTTTGCCTTTATTTGGGAACTGTTCAAACTGTAATGAGTCAGGAGTGAGGAATGTTTGGAGGAGCTGGGCTTGACAGTTATAAAGACAATGCTAATAGAATCATCTTCAGCCATTTAGAAATGTCCATGTGTATACCTTTTTTTTTTTAAGGATCAATTTTTTTTTTCATAAGAGAATTTTGGACAGAATTAGGCATCAATCTCATTGCAGGCTGTTATTTTGGAAAAAGGGAGAATTGGAAACTCTCCTTATTGGTTGTTGAGAAAAAGTATTTGATAAAGCTGGAAAATAAATGGTGTCTGTTGCTAACAAACTACACCAAAATGTGGTTTGGTTATACTGTAGTATGCTGTGTGATGTGAACCAGGGGTGAAATCCAGCAGGTTCTGACAAGTTCTGGAGAACTGGTAATGGAAATTTTGAGCAGTTTGGAGAACCAGCAAATACCACCTCTGGCTGGCCCAGAGTGGGGTGGGAATGGAGATTTTGGCAGTATCCTTCCACTGCCATGCCCACCATGCCACACCACACCACGCCCACCAAGCCATGCCCACAGAACTGGTAGTAAAAAAATTGGATTTCACCACTGATGTGAACCCCAGTTGTTCCCAAGAATGGTGGTGACACATGTCTTATCAGTAGCCTAAACGTCAACTGCTAGTCCAGTTCATTATAGTTTCTATATGCTACTGTTAATGGGGTCTGGGGTACTCCATTTGTGAACCAGATCTTGTAAACTTTCTTTCTTTGGTGATCAGTAATTATAGGACAACTGTTCAGTGTGCATTCATGATATCAAATATGTATACCTATGAAAAATGCAAAGCAACAATCTATTCATATGTGGGGAAAAGCTGTCTCTGGCCTTTTTTCCTACATTCTCTACAGGCTGAAACAGTATACAAGAATACAATTCCTAGGAGCAAAAAGTTGCCCATTCCTACTGTATACACAATTGCACTTCTCAGAAAGTATTCACAGGATTGTGTTATTTATCCCTTAGAAATGTTTTCAATAAAGAAGTAAACAGTGGTTGCTCTCTTCATATACAGTCTGTGTTTTTAATTGCTTCTTAGAACATAACACTGTAGTAACACAAGAGTTACTAAACAAATCTTTCCAAATTTATTTGGCTATTTTCAGTAAAAGATTTTCTTCATCAGAATTTTTTTCTTACGTAATTTGTTTTTAAGACTGGGCTGGTCTTGCTTTAGTATTGCATTTGGCAGCAGTCCAAGATTTGGTAAATGTTCTGTGTTTGCAGGCTAATGTTACATACCTGCCCTTCAGAGTTCCACGGATTAGAACATTTTCTTGTTTATATTAAATAACACTTTGAAATTTTACTTACTTATTTTTTCATAGGTTTAGTTCTGGTCTGCAAAATTTGAAATTGTCGTTAGCTATCGTGCAAAATGCAGAGGTCTACATTTATACAAAAAGAGTTGTCAGTCCTTGCCTGAATCAATTTTTGCATGATCTGTTGCAAATTAATTGGTTTACATTTTCTCCTTGGTCCCTAACTGTGGGATGTAAAAGGCAAATTGTTTTTTTTAGAACTGAGCAGAGCTTTAAAGTATTCCAAGAAGACCATGTAAGACGACAATCCAACCCTATGGTCTGCTGTTGGTGGATCTTTGGCTATAGTGACTCCATTTGGGCATTAAAGACCAACATGTGAGGAGAATATCAGGCTGCAAAATGATACTTATATTTTTTTTAATTTTGGTTTTTAAAAAATTACAACTGATTGAGGCATCTTCTATTGATGAATAGACATTCTAATAAGTAGCTGTAAAAATGAAAGCTATTAAGCTACAACTGCAGCCTGTTTTTTAGGATTAATTCTTCCAAACAATCTCATAGTTCTCTGATTCCACATTCACTATAAGTGTACTGGAGCTCCTATTGGCATTCTCTGTGAATTTCCTCCCCTTCTTGCAGCTTCACATCAGCTAAGGCGGGGTGTCAAACTCAAGGCCGAGGGGCTGAATCCAGCCTGCAGGGTGCTTAGATCTGGACTGTGGAGCCGCCCTGGAAACAGTGAAGGACCGACCCACAGTGTCTCTGCCAGAGAAATGGAGTTCATGAGGGCCATGGGCGGCCTTCTGGAGCTCTGATTTTGCGGGCAGAGGATTGCAGGAGGCCATCGCAGCTGAAAACGGAACTCAGGAACCCATTTTTGCTGACAGAGCACTCGGGCCATCATAGGCACCTCCAACACGAGTGATGTTGAACTGGCCATGCCCATCCTGACCACGCCCCCCCCTCCAAAGTCAAACACAACCCTGATGAGGCCCTCAATGAAATCAAGTTTGACACCCCTGAGCTAAGACATTAAGCAAAACACAATTCTGTTAGCAGAATCCATTGTAGTCCAGATCATCAATCCAGGGCATAAAAGGAATAAGTTAACATTTCACCTTAGAGGCTATGTAAAAATGAACTATTATGTATCAGCATCTACTGAAAACAATTTGTATTACAAAAACGATTATTTTTGAAAGTCAGTGCCATAGTTGATATATTATAAATTCCTATACACACCAAACAAAATTAATGCATATTAAACACATTCAATTAGATTAATGGTTTGGGGAGAAGATACTGTAGTTTAGTGGTAGAAGATTTTGTAAATAAAGAAGAATCAGGTGCAATTTTTAACATTTCAGTTGTTGAAGCATATTGTCCCTGAAAGATTTTGTTTATAGGAATGGCATCTCAGAATTTGATACTTATTTTTTCCCCTAGGAATGCCTAATTGGATTATATGTACAAGAATCATAAACTTGTATATATTAGAAAGTATTTTGGCTGAAATGAGATGAGAATTCTGACCTGGCAAATATTATAGGAGCCAGGTTTACTTTTCTATTTTATATAATTCTGCCAAAAGAACTATTCCTGTTCCTAATCTTCTTGTCCCTATGTTTTGTATCCACAACAAAAGTAACACAGAAATCTTTATTAGGACACATCCTATGAATGTAATTGTACGAAAGAGTAAACATTGTATAACCATTTTATCCTTTTCCAATTTTCAAAGGTTGTTTGCAATTCCACATATTCTTTCTTTAATTCTTTTAAACGTCTTCAATAAAATTTATTTAAAATAGGGTATTTTGAAAATAATGAAAAATTTACTTTGCAAGGTCCATACCACCACTTATGAAGCATTTGAAATCTCTAGTATAACTTTAATCTGGAAGGGAAAAAAATAACAAAAACCTTCAAAGTCAACAAACGAATGAAAGAACCAAATATATATTTATTTTTTCAAATGCTATCTCCGATAAAAAGCTTGCAGTGGCCCATCTGAGGTCAACTCTTGCACATAGAGTGGAAAAAGGCTCCTTTTTCATTCAGCCCCTGTGTTTTCCAACTTAAATTTCCCATGTACCTGTAAAATATGAAAAGAGAATAGCAATAGAAACCTTCCCATACACTGCATCATTTTTGGAAGACTACTTTGCCTTAAGCTAATCAGTAGTCCAGACAATAGTAACATTAAACTAATCTATATTAGCTTCTAATTAAGCTTTGTGCAGAATAGCAATCTGATCATGGTCTGGTTTCACATATTTTAACTTAAGAGACTGCCTCATCTTGTTATACCTGTCCTATCTGCTCTGGGTCAGGCTCTGGGTTCTGTTGGCTGAGGAATGTTGACTGACAGGCTCAGAAGGTAAATCTTTTTTGCTGTAGCACCTGCCCTATGAAACATTCTCCATCCAGAGATTAGGCTGGACCAGATCCTGCTGGCCTTTTGTAAAATCCTAAAGACCTGGTTTTATGCCTACCTCCTGGTTCTGTTAGTAACTACTACATTTTCTCTGCTGCTATGTATTTTAGTTTTTATAGTTATGGTTGCAATGTTTTTTGTTGCTTCCATTTGATTTTTAGATATTGTTCACCACCCAGAATCATTTGCTGAGATGGGTGGCTACTATAAATTGACTAAATTGACTAAATAAATAAATAAATAAATAAATAAGTGGTCTCAATCAAATGGGTGATCCTGGTGTGTTTCAGTGCTCCAAAAAACAATTTAATATATAGCTCAGAATAGTGACACTACATTAGATGTTAAATTGATAACTTGGTGAACCTGTTTCAGCATGCACTCATCTAAAATTCATCTAAATTCATTCACTATACAGTTAGCTCTAAAGCAAAAGCATTTTTAAAAATTCTTCTGATGTTATTTTAAAGAAAATATGATTCAATTTCTTTAAAAATCATCTGATTTTTAAAGAAAAAAATTAAATGGGAAGGTGTGTGTAAAATACTAAACCCAACACTATTTTCAATAATGCTTCTGTTCCTGACTATACCCCATGGGCATTCTAAGAGAAGAAAAAAATAGAGGATTGCATTGCACCCCAGTGTGTACCTGATACACAAACCTACAAGCTATAAAACATCTTAAGATGCTAATGTTGATAGGGGATAACTATCTCACTGATTTCCCCAGTGAGAAATTGTTATTTTAGACAAGCTCATTCCCAATCATCCTGTAGAAGCACTTTGTAACACTTCCATAATCTTAAAGTTCAATATGAGCTCATTGGCTGTAAAAGTTGGAAGCCGCTGACTTATGCCAAAAAATTAAGTGGAATCTTTCTGATATTAATTGGATAATCTCTTTTCTTCGCATAATGATAACAACAACTACATTGCATACTGTTTATTTGTATGTAATTATACATATCTAGCAATGGTGAGTTTCAAAATTCTTTACTACCGGTTCTGTGGGTGTGGCTTGGTTGGTGTGGCGTGGCTTGGTGGGCATGGCAGGGGAAGGATACTGTAAAATCTCCATTCCCTTCCCATTCCAGGGGAAGGACATTGCAAAATCCTCACTTCCTCCCAATCAGCTGGGACTTGGGAGACAGAGAATAGATGGGGGTGGGGCCAGTCAGAATTTTTATTACCGGTTCTCCAAACTACTCAAAATTTCCGCTATAGGTTGTCCAGAACTGGTCAGAACC